GCATTGCGGGGAATTGAGGGTAGCGGTCCGATTTTACATTAACCTTGTTGTTTAATTTCGTTTTTTGTTCCATGTTAAACCTTGGCTTCTCATGTTCTTTTACATATTCGTCCTTAGTTTACCTTTTTTTTTTTTTTTTTTTTTTTTGTGGTTATGAACATGGGATGTAAGAGATGCATACAAGGTAGCTAGCAGTTTAATTTAGAATTGGTGTGTTCTCAAATATTTACTGTTGGGTTTGTAATGCTACTGGGCATGCATCTCTTACACCAATCATGTACTTTCTTTCTTTGCTTTTGTCATGAATTGAAGATAAAGAAATGACTTTAATTAGTTTCTCTCTCTTTTTTTCTCTTTGAATAATATCAAAATAACTCCTCTGTCCGAATATTATTCTTTATGAATCGAATTAAGAATACTAGTACTTGCCTAGGTGCCTTGGTATAAGTTTGCAGGCGGAGAATTTTGATCCTTTTTATTGGAAAAAGAAACCTGGTGTTGGACTATAGAGAGAGTTTTGAGTTATGAGAAAGTAATTGCAGAGAAGTGACTAGTCCTTTTCAACTTCAAAAGTGCTGCATGTGAATCACCTGATGAAGTTTTTTCTCTTTCTTTTTTTACTGCTTTTGTTTTCTTCTTTTTCAGTGACAGAGTTTTTCTTCTTTGTACTGTAACAGCAAGGTGGGTTCATATGGGGCTCAGGATTCTAGTTAAATGCACTGAGGCCTGGGCTTTCTTCTTCTTCTTTTTATTTTTTTAATTATGAAGTTCTTTGCATAAACATGCTTCAAGATTCATGGAAACAATTGAGTACTACTTGATTTTGCTTCAATAAAGTAAACCTGAAAATTAGCTACTTTGATGATAGATAATAAAATAGAGGTTACTCATTAATCATTTACCAATGATAATTAGGAGAGGCTAGATCAATTCCACCAAAAAGGAAAGGAGCTAGAAAAGAGGATATTTCTTTTGCAAGAGGGACTGCTTAATAAAAATATAAAATGTCACTTCAGGATACCAGGCCTTCTGGTGAAGGAGTCCATAACTGAGTAGCCCAGGCCCAAAACTAGAATATATTGTAAGTTGAGGCAATTTATTTGTTTACTTCCAAGGTTATGGTTATTCTTTACAAAGTAGCATCAATTTGTTAGTCCTCATCATCAACGAAGGGCATTGGGGGAATCTCAAAATAATCTTTGATTATTCTTTTTCATTCACTAGATATCAGTATTATCATAAAAGGATCTCATTTAATGCTATAAGCAAGCAATTTAACCCTTTAAAATTATTAGATTAGATGAATCAATCATCATAAGGCACATAATTAATTACTTTTAAGCAAGAAACAATTAGTGTTCTAGAGGGACAGAATTAAGAATCTTTGCCAGAAAAAAAGGAAGCGTCACCAAATTTTCACTATAGTAATTATACAACAGGGCGAGAAAATAAATGCAGTTTACTAAAGATAACGTTTATTACTGTCTAAGCATAACTAATGTGATGAAGAATGTAATTGCCGTGATCTTGGAGAAGATAAGAAAGGCTTTGGGGGGATTTTTAAGGAACCAAGGCTTCATTCCAACATCTCCACTACTCTACTTATAGTTGGTCGGTTTGATGGATTAGTTTGTATGCACCACAAACTCACAATTATCATCTTCCTAATATTAATGGGATATGCCAATGTTCTATTTTGCCTAATATTCTATATAATTGAGAAATGGAAGTTTGAGCTTCTATTAGTTTTAGTATCCGCATTGTAGTCTAGACTATTGAGTACTCAAAGGCAATGCCTCGACAATTGATTATCTGATCTTGGATTATTTCAAGCTTCCTGGAAAACTAGTGAAATTTAGAGTAATACAAAATCAATATTGAAAACACATACAAATATCAATTGAGTAAAGAGAAAGAAATATATGCGTGATTTATCCTCATTCATTCAATTAACAGGCTACTTCCAATAGAATTAATATTATTGAAATACTGCCTCATCTCTCTCATTAAAATGAAAGTAATTTGCCCTATGATTTTCTACCACACTCATACAAGAGAAACATAAGTTTATGTACTAGGTTTAAAGTATAAAATCTAATATTACAATGATCATTTTTCCTTAAGCCTAAACCCAATTAGGAATTAATGACATAGAGAAATCCTATAGCATAGCATCTCTTCATGGTATAGGCCCAAACCGCCTACGGGCCTAGGGGCGTTGCCCCTGGCACCCCCGCTCGCTCGAATGTGTATGCGTAGCCCTTAATTTTTGAAGTGGTTGACAACTCCAACAACTAGTAGTTGAAGCAAAAATTAAGCAAAAAATATCACTATTCAATAAGATAATTGGTTAAATAAATATATTAAGTCCTGTGCCTAGCTTCAATGCCAATTTTCCATTGCTTGCAATAGGATATGAAAATAAAATGGTATTATCAGTTCAAACAATGAAAATAAATGCTGTGATCAAAGTATCATATTCTTTTAGGTTTCTTTTGTTTTGAATTATGTTTCATATGCTTAGGTAAGCTTACAAATACCTTTGTTATACTTTATTTGTTCATGGCTGTAACATTGTTCCATTGGTGATGCGTCCAAAAGCTTGAAACTATGTCAAGCATCACCAATGGAACAATGTTCCAGCCATGAACAAACAAAGTATAACAAAGGTATTAAGCCTACCTAAGCATATAAAATCTAATTCAAAACAAAATAAACCTCAAAGAAACTTGCGCACCAAATGAAAGGTGACAGCTAGCCAAAAAACACTTTTCATGTTTAGCTATTTTGGGAAAATTTTCACCAAACTTTTTAGGGACCACTATTTCTAGTATACCTAATGAGTTAATTACAACTGTACATGGATCACTTATACATATCTCAGATAAGGATAAAATCCTAACATCACATAGAGACGCAACATGTGTAAAGGAAATCTGGCTGGAGAGTATCATCACGTGGACACTTAGTGTCATGACACTAGAAAACCATAAAGTGATTGTGCTTAAACAAAATGATGTTATGACATCAAAAATCAGTGTTACCATACTCAATTCATAATTTAACAAAAATACTTATAATAACAAAGAGCACAACATAAGAGACGATTATTTACTAGAAACAATAGTTATACCAACGCCTAACTAATACTAATAGGGAGTCTTTGCATCACTTCTTCAATTGAGTCATCCCTGTTACCCGTCAAGACCCGCTAGTTGACCAGGAAATTGGATAGGAAAGACTTGCAGAAACTGACTTTTACTCATTAATTGTTGGGTCATTGACTCAAAAAGTCTGATACAAAATTTACGTGGATGGCTTCTAGTTGTTTCTTCTTCTTATTTGACACATCCAGACAAAGGCCACAAAGAAAGGAAAAGTGTTGGCTCTGCTATTCTCTCAAGGTAAGAAAGATCACAAATATATGGGACATAAATTTTAGTACAGATTATTAATAACAGCACAGAAACTTTACTAAATAATCCCAATTTGGAGAAATTTTGAGTGGTCCTTGTTGGAGTTGTTCGACCACTTCAACAATAAGGGGTTACGAAGACGCATTCGGGGTCCTACTGCCTGGTCAGTGGTGGGGGCCCCGTTCCCCAGTGAGCAGGCAGTGGTCGATGGGGCAGCGTCGCTGAAGGATTTCTTTAAGTAATTGATTTTTAATTGAGTTTGGGCTTAGGATCAGAGATCATTATAATATTAGATTTTATTCTTTTCAATCTAGTATATAAACTTATTTTTCCCTTATATGTGTGTGATAGCAAATTATAGGACAAATTACATTCATTGTAATGAGAAATGTGAGACAGTATTTCAATAATATTGATTCTGTTGGACGTAACATGTTAATTGGGTGAACCAGAGTAAATCGCATATATTTTTTCTTTCTTTTTACTAGATTTTTATTTGTGCGTGTTTACTGTTTTGATTTTGTACTACCCTAAATTGTTTTAATATTCTGAGGGTATGTGTTTTGCGTTACTGAATACGTACTTTTTCCACCCTGCAGTCCCATGTGCTGCAAATAAATGTAAAGAAAGTAAGATAAATCTGATATTATTACTTTCAAGTTATGACAGACTGTTAAAAGAACTAATAAAATTGCGAGGCAATTAATCTTCAGCTTTCAATAGGTATATTGAAGTTGCAGGAAGACTTAAGAGGATGTGCAACATTATGGTTTGTGATTGCCTTTCAAAGTGGGTGGAAGGCTTTGGGCTTATTAGTAATGTTGGGAAAAAGGCCAGTCTCCTTTTCTCTCGTTCTCTGTATTCTGCTATTTTCTACAACTTTTCCCACTCTCTCTATAAGAAAAGTGACAGGCTGCACATTTACTTTGGGCTTTTTGGCTTAAGCACATTTTGTGTCCAAACCTACACATGGGGTGGACAGGCCAACAAGTAATAACTATGCTGAAACTTCAACATTCAAATAATATTCCATGTGCAGATAGAGCAATAACTCTGGCTGATTTATCTGCACTTAGGAGAATGAGGATTAATTAAGGAGCAGGATATTTAATTTTTGGGGGCCTCTTTGGAAAATCTTAAGGCTACTTTCAGTCTGCTACAACCTATGCATTGTTGAAAAATTATATGCTTAAGTCAATCTCAGGGCTTTAATCACTCCAATTCTGTTTGTTCTCTAGCCATTAATAAGAGTTCAGGGCAAGTACCTATACAAGAATTTATAGAACCAAGCGAGATAAGTTTTATATTCAATGCTTTTAAACTCCATGTCAATTAAAAAAGTGTAACCACTTAACAATCATTTAGGTAATCAGACAGATCTCAATACGGAGTATCTATTATATATCTCATTGCCCTGTAGCCCATATATATTGCAATGAAGTAGTAAATAGAAAGGAAATAAGATAAATTTGACATGAATTCAACCACTGCTTAAATTATGAATAGATTGTTAAAATTGATAGTTGAGGCAATCATCAAATATCAACAACAAATCTTTTAGAGAATAACTTCAATTGACACCTAAATATTCTTCTTATATTTGTAAAAATCGTCACTGAATAGCTTGAAAAGTATAAATACAAAATCATTTCTCCTTTTGGGAAGATGTGCATTTTGGAATGCCATTGGATTACAATATCAGTCTAACAAATGTGTTGAAGAATCTACCTGTGATCCTGGAAAAGATAGAAAAGGCTTCGGTGGGATTTGCAAGGAACCGAGGCTTCCTTCCAACATATCCACCACTCTACTAATGGGCGGCCTATCAGAGGGGTTAGTCTGTATGCACCACAAACTAACAATTATCATCTTCCTTGCACACTCTTTGTCCTCTTCATTTGCAATGCCTTGTAGCGCAAATTCTTCATCTACTTCAAGATGTTGGTAAATCCAATGTGGTAAATATATTTCATTTGTGCTATCAACGTCAACTTCAATATTCTTTCTCCCTCCAACCATTTCTAAAACCATCATTCCATAGCTATAAACATCTGACTTGTGAGAGACTACTCCAAAGCTTCTATAAAATACTTCTGGAGCAATATAACCAATAGTCCCTCGTGCACCTGTCATTGATACAACACTCTCTTTCTTGGGGCAAATTTTTGCAAGACCAAAATCAGAAATCTTTGGACAAAAGTCTTCATCCAGTAGAATATTGTGTGGCTTTATGTAAAAGTGCAAAATTCGTGTGCTACAACCACGATGCAAGTACTCTAATCCTCGAGCTATGCCTATTGCAATCTGATATAATGATTCCCACTTTAATGAATGAATTGTCTGGGATAGACTTTTTTCGTATATGAATTTCTCAAGTGATCCATTGGATACAAATTCGTAGATGAGACCTCTTTTATGACCCTCAAAACAGAAACCTAAAAGAGTAACAATGTTGACATGGGAAGTCTTACTAATGCTAGCAACCTCATTAATAAATTCTTCACCATTGCCATTGGATTTAATTAAGACCTTCACTGCTACATTACGACCATCAGACAATCTACCTTTGTAAACACCTCCGTATCCTCCTTGGCCTAGCTTATGTTTGAATGAATTAGTCATTCTCTTAATATCTGAATAACTATATCTTTTAGGTGCAAGGGATCCTTGGTTCCTTAAAAATACTTCGATGTTTTGGTAATCCTCAGTTTTCTTCTTCAAGTTGAAGACCTTGGAATTATGCGATGACCATTTTTTCCAGAAGCAGAAGGCTAGAATCAATATGCCAGTTCCAGTGGCTGATATGGCTACAATTAATTGAAGAAAGGAGTCATCATAAGACAAATAAATTTTCTGAAATGCACTACGTTTGTTTTATTATTTTTCCTTATCCTATTCCTATCTTACCCAAAGTACATAGTTGTTTCCCTATTCTCAAAATCCAATTCTATTCTATTCGACTATTTTTAAACCTAGGTTTTTGTTAATTTAGCTAAACACCCCCTACAATAAAACATTAAAAATTAATAAAAACACCCCCACTCACCCATTAAATGCCTATAGCCGGCCACCACCATCGGAAGGTGGCCAGAAGTCACCGTAATTGTGTATGATTGGCTGAATATGGCTAGTCATGCATCGATCTGGCATTTTCTAGCCAGATCTACTATGGATCTGGCTGAAAAAAGTTAGATCTATGGCCAAAGATCTAGCCGTTGACAGCTAGATCTTTGGCCACACTTGGTCGTTAACGACGGCCAAGATATGGCTATCGTTGACAACCAGATTAAGCCATCAATTGTCAGATCTGGCTGTAGATTTGGCCAGAAAAGGTCATATCGACGTACAATCGGCTAGATTCAATCGGTCGTGTGCCATTACGGTGACTTCCAACCACCCTCCAGCGGTGGTGGCCAACTCCCGACATTCAATGGGTGGGTGGGGGTGTTTTTATCAATTTTCAATGCTTTATTGTAGGGAGTGTTTAGTTAAATTGATAAACCTATGGGTGTTTTTGTTAATTTTCTAATCCTACCTCATAATAACAACATAACTCAACTTTTTCAAAAGTACTACTCAAAATAATAAACCGAACACAACCTTAGTATCTGACTCATAAATTCTAAACTATTGAGTTAAGGGAAGTTAATTCCTCCTCAATTTCTCAAATCTAGATGGTTATAGCCTCCTGGAAAACTAGAAGTAGAAGCAAACAATAAGCAGAAACTATCCATATTCAATAAGATATTTGGTAAAGTGGTATATTACCAAGTCCTGTGCCTAGCTTCAATCCCACTTTTCCAAGCCCTGCAAGAGAAGTTACAAAGGAAATTGTATTAGTTTAAACAATAGAAATTGAAGTGATTTGATTATATTAGCATCATTATAATTCATTGTAGGATTTTGAATGCAACAAAATTAACTACCACTTCAGAAATAATACTAATCTTCCTCTGACAATCTATGCTCTGCATCCTATGTAAACGATCGCTTGAATTTGTTGGGTACGGAATTAAAATATTTTAGCTTGTATAAATTGGTAAAAAGATACTAATACCTGTTCTTGATTTTGAACAATGAAAATTTCCTTTGCCATCACTTTGACATTTGCCTCCTCTCCAGTAACATTGGTAACATTCTTGTATTACATTCACTCTAATCCGAAACCGACCAGTGAACAAATTTATAAAGTTGACTCTTCGCTTAGTGTTGTTCACCAGGAGGTGAACAAGTGAACATTGAGCTGGAGGACTTGGTAAGTTACCATGTTTGTAATTGTCATAGATGACATAGTGCCTTGAATCATTGCATGACAAGCTATAATTTGCAGGGTAACTTTGTGTGCTGGGGCACTTGAACTTGATCGGATCGTCTCGGAGTTCGAAAGTGAGAAAAGCAGAAATGGGAAGGCTCAAATTCCTGAAGGTATCACAGCTCAGGCTTTGTATCTGATTACTTTGAAACTCCAGATCTCGTAGCCTGAGAGTGTTATCCTGGGAGACGCTCGCAACTGCAAACCATGGCCCGCCCTTTCCTAGTTGAATCTTCTGAACAAGTTTGTTGCAGTCGTATATTATCAGCAAACCACACTCCGGCTGAGTATGATTCGTGAAGGGGAAGCTGACAGGTCCGAATTTTCCGCAGTAAAAAGGTGTACATTTTGGATTGGATTTCTTAACTTCTTGTGCTAAGGAAATAAGTAATAGATGAGAGGCAATGAAGATTAGAACAAGATAAGAGACACGATCCATTACAAAATTCAATATTATTAGCAATGGAAACTCCAGGTGAACAAGATATCATATAATCTACTGTTGTTTGTTGTCCCTCTTATGGAAATTGGATGGAAAAATTTGAAGAAAGGAAATGAAAGGAGTGCAAATTGTGCCAGTGCATGAATTTTTAAACAGTAAATAAATACTTTATTAACTTTTTGTGAGGTCTTCCCTGGGAAGTTGTGAACAAAATAGAGATATATGAAAAACAAAATAAACAGAAAACAAGCAAACACAAATAGTAAAGAGAGAGAAGAAAACGCGTAATTTATCCTGGTTCATCTAATTAACGGGTTACATTTAATAAAGTCAATATTATTTCAATATTGTCTCACCTCTCTCGTTTACAATAAAGTAATTTGTCTTATGATTACTATCACTCAATACAAGAGAAAAATATATTTATATATTAGGTTTTAAAAAGTAAAACCAATATTACAAGGATTCATATTCCTAAATCGAAACTCAATAAAGAATTAATAATTTAAGGAATTCTTTCAACGGTTATACATGAAAAAAAAAAGTCCAAAACTGTCTACTAACCGGATAACAGAACCTCCAAATACGTTTGCATGACCAATTAATATTAAAGTAGTCGATAACTCTAACAAGTTGACCCTGAGTCGCACCCTTTAGATGCTGACGGATGAAGTGATGTCCATAGTCATTTGATCTTTATTATAAGACCCCATTAAATGATGTAACTCTTGACAAATTGTTCATAAAATTACTTTATGTACAAACATTCTTTACGTAAGTGGAGTGCGTGCTTATCACGTTGTCAATCTGATTTGTGGGTTTAACATTGTTGGTTTCTACTTGTCAATTATATAGAGAATATTTAATTTTACCGCTACTTGTTTCTCTCCCTCTCTCATGAATTATTGAGTGAAATAGTTACACGCTTGAGAGCCTTACCCTACAAATAATAAGAAGCATATTTATATATATCACCAAGCAATTTCCCGCTTTGCGCAATAGCATACAAATAAAGTAAATATTTTTGCGTAATAGCATCCAAGCAAATAGGTAAATAAATCAATGCAAACATATTAAATCTAGACACCAATTTTTTAACATGAATGAAGACGTTAAATGAAAAGAAAAACCACAAAAAGTAAAAAAAAAAAATAAAAACAAAAAAAAAAAAAAAAGAAGAACCGCTCCTAACTTTTGCTAATCAAATAATGAGTTACAATGAAGTTATATATCAAAATGAAACTAAGCTCTCGACTTTGTGTAGCTTGTTCCTTTTGAATGCTTTGTGCTCCCTTTTGGCATGTCTCGAGGTTGGGTGGTGGTCCTTTCTTTTTGTATTGAGTTGTATTTAGTTTAGAGTTAGTTGGTCTCCTCTTATTATCAATATTTTGTTTATAAGATTGTAAAACAAGAGGAGTGAGTGTTGTTAGGCAACCTCAATTGAGGTGTGCATTCCTTTTTTTTTGTTTTGTATTGTTGTTTTGTTTAGCTTTTGTGTTTAGTTGCTTAAATTAGCAATTAGTTAATAGTCTTTGTGATTACTTAATTATTTTGTGTCTAATCTAGAGTTTGTCCTATGATAGGGTGACCGTTTTTATATAGTCTTTTGTAAATTCTTTCTCTTTTCTAATGAATATTTACTTACCCAAGGAAAAAAAAAAAAAAAACCTAGAGGCATACCATCATCAATTCCTTCATCCAAAAGTATATATATATATATTGCATTAAACTAAATGACGATTCAAACCAATAGATACTCTCACCAGAAGTAATATAAGAGTGTAAATGACAATTCAAACCAATAGATACGTAAGTTAGATTGCCGACAACATACGATAAGAGGAAGGTTCCTAGTTGAATGAAGGTGTGATTCTTTCTTTTTCTCTATTTTCTCTTTTCTTTCTCTTCTTGTCGGCCATACTCTCTCATTCTTTATGCAAAAGTTGCCCCACCTCCTTTTTCTCAATTAGGTTTCACATTCCTTTTTTCTTGTTAATGTATTTGGGCTTTGGGCCTCAAATTAGGAAAGTGATTTTCACATATCCTCTTTTCAATGTTTGTTAATATCAAATGGGCTACAAACATATAGAAATTTTTTTTTAATACCAATTGAAAAGCCTAGATTAATTATTAAAAATGATTTTGAGTAAGAGCTGATTGAAGAGCATTGGAGTAGTGCTATTGGTTTTCTGCTGTCTCTTCGCAAAGCGGAAGCTACTAAGTTTCAGTCTGCCTAAACTTTTGACGGTTGAAATTAAATGCTTAACGTCAACTAAGTGCTATAGCGATTCCATTTTCTGGGTGAAATTATCATTTCGGGCAATCATCGAATATAAATAAGAAAACCTGTCAGAGTATAACTTCAATTGACACTTGAATAATCTTCTTAAAAATATTTGTAAAAATATATCACTCAATAGCCTGACAAGTTTGAAATACAAAGTCATTTCTCTGCGTGGGAAGAACCGCATTTTGGTACATCACAGGATTACAAGATTAGATCCCTTAGGCCCCCAACCTCTTAAAACTGACAATTTCGCCCTTACACTTCAACTCCTCCCTCCTCAATCATTTCGGCAAACACACCACCCCTTCCAAAATGGCTGGATTTTTCCTCAACATCACACATCTCCACATTCAACAACTTTGTCACTAATCATAATTTATATGTATATGCATAAAATACATACATGCATGTCAAATTCATTACAATCCATATCCATGGTCCTATAATTCATCATACTTAAATCCATCCACATGCATGTCAAATTCATTCCCAAAATATAGAGATTTATATTTGAAAGGCTGCAATAAACCATGATTGTTAAATTGTGCATATACAGAATGAACTATCCAATGGAAACATGATTTTAATGCAAGTTATGCTATTCCACTCACAAAAAACTCTTTGCTCTGTGATTTTCTTAAGGTGAGAAAGATCAGACACGTAATTGTCATAAATGTTAAAATGGTATGTGATATGTAATTTGTTTTACTTATAAGTTATAACATAGAATAACAAAACATTATTCCGTTTTTAATAGATTATATAACGTGAAAAAAAAAATGATTTAAGATCAAGATAAATAAAGTTTGGAATTCATGATATAATTAAATAAAAGCAAAAATAACGTCAAAATATTGATTGACAAACAATTTAGTAGAGAACAACACTGATTATATATATAACCTATTGTATGAGTAATAATGCTTACAAATAAATAAATAATTAAGAAGGTAATAAATTTTAACATAAATTCAATTTAAATATGAATGATGATGTTGAACCCCCACCTATTATCTTATTAGACCCCATTTAATTTTTTTTTTCTTAATTACAACTTTATCATTTATAAGAAGAGTTATATACACAACCCACAAAAAATAAACCCCTTGTGTTGTTATTTCTAAAATCCTATTTTTTTGAATTGTTGAATTGTTGTTGATGCCCAATTTTTGTTTAGGTAAACCTAAAAAGTTCAAGATTACAATTCTAAGGGCTCAAAATCATCCAAGAAGGCCTCTTTTATTCATAAAGCCCATCGGGCACGATGATATAAAACAATGGGTTGTAGTAGTCACTAGCCAAAGAAGGCCCAAATAACATGATAAGAGGCTAGCTCAGTATTTCAAGTAAAAATTTGCCCTACCCTTCGGTCGACGACATTTAATTATAGTCCGCCCACTTCTCATGCTATCAGGCTCACGACAGGTTATATTAAAATTTGTCATATGCGCCTGGCAAACATATACATTTTTTGACATAATAACTTTAATTAAAACTCATTAATACATCATTTTAAGACCTACTTAGAATTAAGAATCTATTGAGGGTGAAGATAGGAAAGGCTTTGGCGGAATTTGCAAGGAATTGATGCTCCCCTCCAACATCTCCACTACTTTGCTCATTGTTGGCTGGTCTGATGGATTATTTTGTATGCACCACAAGCTCACTATTATCATCTTCCTTACACATTCTTTATCTTCTTCATTTGAAATGCTTTGCACTCTAAGTTCTTCATCTACTTCAAGAAGCTCGTAAATCCATTGTGAAAAATATATTTCACTGCTTTGATCAATCCCAACATTGTTAATTTGTCTTCCTCCAATCATTTTTAAAACCATCATTCCATAGCTATAGACGACCAACTTGTGAGAGATTGCTCCAAAGTTTCTACAAAATACTTTTGGAGGAATATAACCAATAGTTCCTCGTGCACTTGACATCGATACAATACTCTATTTCTTGGAACAAATTTTTGCAAGACCAAAATTAGAAATCTTTGGACAAAAATCTTCATCTAGGAGGATATTATGTGGCTTTATGTCAAAGTGCAAAATTCGTGTACTACAACCACGATGTAAGTACTCTAATCCTCGGGCTATGCCTACTGCAATTTGGGACAATGTTTCCTAATTCAATGGATTTTTGTCATCTATAAACTTCTCAAGAGATCCATTAGATACAAACTCGTAAATAAGAGCTCTTCTACGACCCTCGAAACAAAAACCTAAAAAAGTGACAATGTTGACATGGGAAGTCTTACAAATGCTAGTAACCTCATTAATAAAGTCTTCGCCATTACCTTTGGATTCAGTTAAGAGCGTCACCGCCACATTACGACCATCAAGTAGCCTTCCTTTGTAAACCCTTCCAAACCCTCCTTGTCCTATTTTATGCTTGAATGAATTGGTCATTTTCTTAATATCTGAATACCTATATCTTTTAGGAGCAAGGGATCCGTGGTTCTTTAAAAATACTTCAATGTTTTGGTACTCCTTAGTTTTCTTCCTCTAGAAAGCCATGAAATTATGCGGTGATGATTTTCTCCTGTAGCAAAAGGCTAGAACTATCAACATACCAATTCCAATGGTCGGTATAGCTGCAATTAATTGGAGAAAGGAATCATAAGATAAAAAAAGATAGCAAACGGTAAACAAAAATTTTGCATGGTTAGAATTAGAATGACACAAACAATACATAGGCGAACAAAGAATGAGAATCAACACGCTGGATAGTTACAAATTACATGAACGTTAAGATTAATTTGTATCCATTTTTTTTTTATAATATTTGCATGGATCTTATATATTATGACAAATTGTTAAGAAAAATTGTGTATT